GATGAGCCTGGTCTTGCGCTGGCTGGGTCCGGAGGAGGAATCGCAGGGCGGGATGAGCACGGCCACTTTGGGGCGCAGCACTGTGAACACTGGAGTGAGGGGACAAGGGGTCAGCCCGGCCTGGCCCACCCCCGTGCCTGCCATGCAGGGCTCTCTATTCTGTGGTAGTGGAGGGGACGGTTCTCACCTGGGAAGTTCACGATCACGTCTTTGTTGGTGGTGCCGTGCAGCACTTTGCACACCAGGTGCTCGTCAGTGCTCTGGGGCACACTCTCGGGCAGCAGCACCTGCGAGGTGGCCGCGTACGTGCCCTGTCTGTGGACCGTTGGGAAGGTCTTGACATTGCTGCGGCTCACCGAGGAGCTGTTCTTGTAGTTCCAGGAGAAGCTGATGGTGTCGGGCAGGAAGTCCCGTGCGAGGCAGCCCAGGGCCACCGTGCTCTTCTGTGACTGGGGGCTCTCACAGGACACCAGCGGGAAGACTTTTGGGGAGGACAGGCTCACTGAGAACCCAAGGGGGACAAAAGAGAATGAGGAGGGGGTGAGAAGCTGCCTTCTTGAGCCAGCTGCAGAATCTCTTTCTGAGCCCCCCATCCTGCTGGGGCTAAGCCCACCTTCAGGACTCCAGGGCTTGGGCTGACCTGGCCAACAGTGGGCTGGGAAGCTATGGTGAGGCCTGAGGTCTAGGTACAAGGCTGCTGGGCGTGGGAGGAGACAGCCTCAGCCCCTACCATACTGAGGCGCCCATCACAGCACACTGCCTTCCCATCCTTGCCGTCCCCACCCTGCTCTGCTGTCCCTGTACCCAGGGCATCGCCTGTATGCTGGGTCTGGGATCAGAGTTGTTCAGGGATCAGGCGTGGGCATGGACCAGCCTTGTCTTCCCTTGGATGTCAGACTTGTGGGGCTGTCATGATCAGCCCTGAGCACAAGGCGCATGAGGAGCCGGGAACCACACACAAGGCAGGGAGAGAGGGGCCCCCACCAGCTCCCCGAGCTGCCCTGATCTCAGTCACACCCTAAATCTCCCAGGGCAGACAGCTCAGGACTGTATGTGGGGTCAGAGGGAGGGTGATGGGAACCAGTGTAGACTCTGCTTGGTGAGTGTATCTAAGAATGGCCAGCACATTCTTAGATCAGCCGAGCACAATGTGAGCTAAGAGGGTGTAGCACGGCCAGCTCATCCCAGCTGCAGGAATGTAGGCCATCCCCGGTCAGTCTAGCCCCAAGCAGCTTAATGAACAAGCCCAGCCCATCCCAACCAGTCCATGCCTGCTGAACCGAGCTCAGTTACCCTAGTTAACCCAGCTCAACCACCAAACACAAGAAGGCCAGCCTAGTCCAGCCCAGCCCGGCCAAGCTCAGCTCAACTCAGCTCAGCTCAACTCAGCTCTTCCCAGCTCAGCCCACTTCAGCTCAGCCCAGTTCAGCTCATCCCAGCTCAGCCCAGCCCACTTCAGCTCAGCCCACCTCTGCCCAGTACAGCTCATCCCAGCTCAAGCCCAGCT